ATTTCCAGTTTGGGGAAAAAATAAAATAAAAGCACGTGTTCCTTTTTAGACACTTTGTGCACACTCGCCTGAAAAAGCTGAAGCATCGTGGATTTGAGATGAGCTGGATTTTCATTAGTGTTTCTGACTTAAACAAAATGTGAATCTAAAACAGTAATGTATGATGTAATCCATGTCGTTTGGACTTGAAGCATGCCGACTTGCACAGCTTCTCCTCTTCTATTTGTGTAAAATACAACAGTGAGACCAGTAAATGAGAGAAGAAAGACACAGAATTTATAATCGAATCCAGCATTTTTACCTTCTTGACCATGAGCACATATTCATGTTCGGACTTCTCAGTGGCTCCTCCATCATCTGTCCCTGAACCGAAGGCCAGTTTACGTCTGTGATGACGACTGTTACAAACTCAGACCTTCATAGCAGGACATACGTTACCAATAACTCTGCACAATCCTTGCTCAGATGAGCCTCGAGCTTAAAGCCAACTTTTTTTTTTTTTTTTTAATTCTACAGTCGACCCTGAACCGTCATTGCCTTCCTCTTTTATTGTCAAACTGTGAAAGGTTGTAAATGATGTAAAGTGATTAGATGTGGAGAGTGACTTCACAGGGAAAAGAGCGGGGAAATCGAATTTATACATACTCATTAGCTGATTCAAGGCAAACTCATGATATTAAGATCTAACCATTTCAGATGCTTGAAGTGTTTGCAAAGACTGATAAGTGGTCGTCGGTCTTCAAAGGAGAGCTGATGGTAATAATGAAGCATTATTATTCATGAGCTCCAGCTGGTTTAAAGCCAGACTTATGTCTAAGGGCTTCGTTTTCTTTCTTTTTTTTTCCCTTTAAAAGCCGCCACTTTTGGGCATAATGCTTCATCAACTCAGACCCTTCAGAGTATAAGTGTTGCAGTTATCAATGACGAGCAAAAGCAGTGTGGGGAAGAGTGTGCAAAAGCAAATAACTTATGCCCAGCCTTCTCTATCTCAGCTTGTACCACACATGAGTTCACAAATCATGCTTGGAGAACTTTTTTTTTTTTTGCTTGCCACAACTCTGCAGCCGTTTCTTTCCGGTAAATGTCACTGCAAATGGGGATGCAAAATGGTGCACCTGAAAGCGACCTAATGTGTTTTGCTGTTATTTCTGTGCTTCTTTAACCCTCGTACCACAACCAACCTTCAGCCCGTTTGCAATAACGTTCCTGACATTTTTCTGCAGCAGCTTCAGAAAAGCAAAGATCAAGGGGAGATAGCTTCTGCATTCATTGACATGTGTCCTTTTGTATAATACTTCCAGACAGGCAGAAACAAAGATACCACAATGTTATTATTTTTAAGACTTTTTTGTTTCACTGAGGCACTGTTAGTATCATGTCTAAACAGACGTGAACATTTCAACTCCCTCATTTTCTTAGAAACCCAGTTGTTTACCAGGAAATGTCCATTATGTTAAATGGCTTGCCAAAACACTGACATAATAAACTGAAAGTGGTACCAATAAAAAGACTTCCAGTCGTCATACAGTCCTGAGATTTCAGATTCAATTTTTTTCTGTGAAGATGGTATGAAATTATCATCATAATAGTAGTCATTACTTTGTGTCAGTGAATGCCTGCTTGGCTCAGACTGCTAACATTCAGGGACAGGCTGGGGAAATGATGAATGTTGTCAGACGAGCAATTCATTCTGGCAACTCAGGTCAGCCAAGGGAATGAATGGCACGATGGTTAGAAATGATATTACCATTTCTTTAATTTCCTGTCAATTTGAGACTTCTACCGCGTTAATATTAGAGACAATGTTTGTTTTTATTAGCGAGACGGAGCAAAAAATTCAAAAAGGAAACATTCCTTCTTTTACAAAGAGTACCGAGCTTTGCTGCGCCTTATAAAAAAAAAAAAAAAACCCTTTGCTAGTTTGCATCTGAACACAATGACATTTTCTAAATCAAGTCCAGCAGACATGCAGCTTTTATATAAAAGCATGCATGAGTTGGAACAAATCAATTCAGATTTCTGACAATGCAAGGACTTTACTAATTTGATGTCTTCTGCAGGCCTTTGACACCATAGCGAATAACGTCAGAGCCGGCAGATATTAAGAACTCACTCACAATTTTATTCATAATAACCTGTAAGAAAGAAAACAAAATATTTCTCCCAGACTGTGTTTATGCACAGAAATGATCAAGTAATTCTTGATTAGGGTGACACTAAGTGGCGGCATCATACACAGCTTGACCATATTGCACACAATATGACAGAACTTGCTGTTGTTTTTTTTTGCCATCTTTAGTTTAAATATATTGATATACATCCATAAGCTGTAGTATAAAGGGATATTAGCGTGTGTTAAGTTAGATGGATGATTCAAGTCCATGTAATAGATTACAGCATGCCTACGTCAGATCCGAATTCAACATTTGTGTTTCTGCGACTGTTTTTCTCTCTTCATTTACTAATATTTACATCTGAACCTGCAGCTGGCCGGAGAAAAATGAATTAACCTGTGAATGAATCATCATTCATCCTGAGCCCGGGTGCTCAGCTCCAATGGAATTTACATAAATCCCACAGTAATTTTGGAATAATTTAAATCTAAATAGCAAAGGGCTGAATAATCAACAAGTAATGAGAAGTAAAATTGGTCATCTGTTCACATCTTTCACTATCAGCTTCATCAACAGGCATGGCTGCTCCCTTTCATTCCAAACAATCATCTTTAGAGGTCAGTCCCCTTTCGGTGCAGTTAATTTTACCAAGAGGCATGAATGTTTCAGTTCGTACTGTATTACTCATCACTCCTGAGACAGAAAGGCCAAATAGCAGCCTTATTAATTTATTCATGCGAGCCATCTCCTCCTTTGCCACATAAATGCAAATTTAGGCTTGATTAGCCCTTTAATTTTCATTTTGTGGAATGATCACACTTTAAAAATCAATTTAACAATAATCTAATTTCAATAACAATGAGGATTTATCAGTTAATTAAAGGAGTGCGTCTTTTGTAACTGAATTAAAAACTTCCAGTTATGGTCCAAGAAACGTGCATTTAGCTGGAAAAGATAAAACAAAAACAAAAAAAAAGGAAATATTTGAGTTACACAGAGAAGCCTAAAATTTATGACATCCATGAAGTTTGTAAAATTGTACAACATCCATTAGATACGCCATGCTAACTTTCATGTAGCAAGTTATAACCATCCATCCATCCATTATCTATACACCGCTTAATCCTCACGAGGGTCGCGGGGGGGCTGGAGCCTATCCCATCTGACTTAGAGCGAAGGCAGGGGACACCCTGGACAGGTCACCAGTCTATCGCAGGGCCACACTTAGAGACAGACAACCAAGCACACTCACATTCACACCTACGGACAATTTAGAATCACCAATTAACCTCAACATGTTTTTGGACTGTGTGGGAGGAAGCCGGAGAACCCGGAGAGAACCCATGCTGCACGGGGAGAACATGCAAACTCCACACAGAAAGATTCTGGTGCCCCCACCGGGACGCAAACCGGCAACCTTCCAGCTGCGAGGCAACAGTGCTACCAACTGCACCACCCTGCAGCCCAAGTTATAACCTTATTGGTTAATTATTATCAATTGCTAAACTAGTTTTGCAGACTTTTCTTTGTATCTAAAACAATACTGGAGCATCTCAGGAGTGTTTCGCCTTCTGAGAACCGCAGATGGTTTACATTACGTGGATAAAATCCCTTTCTGATCACTGATTAAATCCTCCAAGAATCAAAATGACACATATAGAAGTTTACTTTTCCCACTAAAATGATGCCTTCCTGCCTTAAAATGCCTTAGATGTAACTCTACACTGTTGCTTACTATGCAGATCTACGACATCCCTTCCTCTTTTCCATCTGCTCCTTGCTGCAGCTCAGGCACACCAGCTCACCTACAGCTGTAAAACGACTCTCGCTCCACAACAGCGGGTTGTAGCATCAGAGTTATGCAGCTATGAATTTTTCAAACCAGAAACTGATTTTGAAGAAGAAGAATTAAACATAAAGAACCACCCTACAAGCTGACAGGATTGGTTCCTCGGGTTTGCTGAATCGGTGTTTTTGTGACAGTAATCATACTGCTGAGTGCTTATTTCACTCTGCTTTACTTTCCGGCAAACAATAAACACCATGAGAGCATGTTAATAAGGTAAAAAAAACCTGATTCTCACTGGAAGAGGTATTTAAAACACAGTAACAGCAATAACACTTTTGATAGCAAATGCTTTGTTCTTGGAGTTGAGAACAAAAACAGCCTATAGTTGCAGAAATCACCCACAACTGAACCACAGTTCTAAAAGAAAATTATTTTCGCTTTGCAGCTCACATGAATTTTTACCCTCTGACTCGGTGTTTCTTACTGGAAACTGGAAGTTGGAGCCAAAATCCACCTCAAGATCTTTATACACACACTCTCGCTTGTACCTTGGAGTTTTTAATCACACAACCACCACAGTTGTTCATCTTCTTCACTGATTATCGAACCATGGAAGTTCTCATCCAGGCTGTAGAAGTAAGTGCCCCAGCTGTGTCTGCTTGGAAAATGAATGGGGCATTTTTTCCGTCAGAACCAAGGGCGCCTGGAATAACTCTTCCCACTTAGAAACCCCTGTGCATGGTTGCATTTGTTTGTTATTCAGTTATTTGTACATGGCGGAGCCCTGTTGGCCTGAGGGTAAAGATGCCAACCTTGAACAGCAGCATCCCTGGTACATGTCCAGCTGGAGACCGTTGCTGCAAGTCATTCCCGATCTCCTGCTGTCATTGTAATAGAAGGATAAAATGTCCAAAGCAAATTGTTCAAAGTTACATGTACAAAAATGCATGTAGGAGGAGAAAGCTTGATTTGCATACAGCCAAAATGTCTGTGCGATGCTCCTGGTGGATGGAGTCACTGAAGTCAAAGAAGACCAGTACATAGCAGACACTGTTTACAAGGTCTATATTGAAAAAAAAGACGTCTGTAACAGTCCATGTGTGCTTATAAAATGTCCTTTTATTTTTAATCACCAGTGGTGCTACATGACAAAGCACAGGAACAAGCACAATACATTTTTTCTTCTGTCTCCAGTGCTTTAAAAAATGTTTTCCCAGGAAACGGACATGTTTCTACTGTCAGACAGCAGAGCCCAACAACACTTGCGTGCGTGCCAAGCCTCAGTATCATCCCACTTCCCATTAGTCATACTGTATGTGACTCTTATGTATTAGTTTGGTTTTTTTTCCCCTTCATAAGCTCTCAATGAGAGAATGATTACATTTTTCTACATGGCTGGCAGTGCAAATTATTAGCATAAGCACCAGTGGTAAATGACTTTTTGTAACAAAGCAAATACCAAACTGAGGGTGTAGAACAAACACTTGGGGCAAACAATAACTTCAGAGAAAACACAGCATTGGGCTCTTGAGGAATATCACACTGATCCTCACATAGGTTTACATATTACTGATTGGCTGCTGCTGCTGCTACTGCGTTAAGTTTGCAGGGATAAAAATCAGCATCACAGTATTTAATGTGTCTGCATGTGTGCCTGGAGCACTGAGGTTCATCGGTGCCTCAACAGTGCCACCTTTTGATCAAAGCCACTGAGTGGAGCTCCTCATCAGAAACACTGTGTGCACTTGAGTAAAGCTGGCACGCATTAGAGAAATGAAAGGCATCACTTCACTGGTTTTCTGTACATTGTGGCGAGGAAATATCTCTCGGCGGATTCCTTTCTGCTGGCTTCCGGCTTTAAAGTCCGAACGCTGCCGAACGAGCTCGACAGCTTCTCCTCGAGTTTCCGAGTGAGGATCCCGTCCCAGTATTTGCAAAGCAAAGAACCCCGGGGCTGGAGGATCTTCTCAGCCAAGTCTACCAAAGACAAACACATTGTGATGAGTTTCTCGTGGTCCATCTCTCGGAAACCGCTGGCGTTGGGAGCCATGTCGCTTAGGATGACGTGAGCGCGGCGGTCGGGAAGCAGCTCCAGCAGCTTGGCGTGCGTGGCCGGGTCCGTGACGTCATGGCTGGGCAGGAAGTGGGCGCCGTCCAGGGGCGGTATGTTCAGCAAATCGACGCCAACAACCGTACCACGTGATAACGCCGGATCTAGGATAATGAGGAAGATGACCACTGTAATTCACTTTTGAAGATATTTGTGTTTCTTCTCGGCTGCACATGACTCACTAATGTGGCTACAATCACCAGAAGAACAGTTTCAGATGATGAAAATCAACAGTGTACACAACAGTGTGCTCCCTATTCTGTTCACACATCCTAGAAATTAAATTAACGAACCACATACAGTAAAGTGGAAGATGTTGATTTTAAAGAAACAAGATATCTTCTAATGACGTGTAGTTTAAACTAGGAACCTGCATTACTGGATTTATCTATTGCCTTTTTAAATCTAATTTCAGTGTTAAGTTGAGATTAATACTGAAATTCTACACTATTATGTTATTATATTGTACTATATATTCTAGTGTTCCCACTTTCTAGCCAAAACTATGTGTATTTCAGCCAGCCAAAGCATTTCAAGTTTGCTTTAGGGGATTTTCTATTTCCAAACAGTATCAGTTTGAAGTATGACTGAACAATTATTCCATTTCAACTAAAAAATCACAGTTTGAAACAATGCAATCAGCAAATCACATAGAATGTAACTTAGGATGTAAGTTATGCGGCACATCTGACCCAGGATTTAAGTTGTTGTATCAGTGGTTTCACAGATTCGAGCCACCCTCTGTTTGATTATCACACATCTAACGGTATCTCACGTGGTCACGCTCCATCACAGATTTTAAATCTGTTACGCAACAAACATTCATTCATCAAATCGCAATATCTGTCACAAAAATCACACTTGAATAGGCTCTTGAGCTTTGTCAATAGCACATCTGCTTTCATTTTTGTCAAAGTTACATATTTGCTGTGTGGTAGTGCAGAGCAAGACTCTTCTCATCAACGCACACTTAAAACTGCATCGCTAAGCAGTGACAACCAACTTTGACAGGTTAAAAAAAACTGACGTGATATTCAGATGAATTCAATCTTTCATATTAGAAAAAAACACAAACGGAAAAAAAAAAAGAATCTGACAAAATACACTTTTAAAGTCCAGGCCCTTAAAGAAAACAGAGTTTGTATTACATAGAGTAAAGCATAAAAAACATTTGGCATGAAGTGTAACATCTACTGCAAACACAAACTTTACATAACATGTGGCCTGAGTTGTTCCCTGCATACAATGCTGAGAGGCTTTCCCAAGACAGCAGTGATGCCAATACATTTATTACTTGGTCGTATAATTTAGTGTAGCTTTTTTAAACTGTTTAGTTTATTCGCTGTCTGTCACTGCCACTAACTACCACAAGAACACATGTATTACATGACTACAACCGGGATGGGCACAGACAAACAAACGGTCCAAAAGAAAATTATTAAAGTTGTCTATAATGTTAATATTGTCTATAACAGTTGTGTAGGGGCCACTGGTTCTTCTAGTAACGGAAAGTTACAAGACTTCTCCAATTAATCAATCACTTAACTCAGCTGTATTCCTCCACAGATGAATACAGACATGCAGAGGAATCTTCTATAAAATTTTTTAAGTCCTTCTCTGCTTGTTGATTTAATCCCTAAAAAATAATGCATGCATGTCAAAGTTACATAATTAAGAAATCAGGAATATATTTTCCTCCTGCCTTGGAGCGGCTGGGATGCACTTCTGTATCTAGAAAGTGCAGCTTTATAAAGTTCCCACACCTCTCCTCACTTGTTGCAGCTCGAGTACAACATCTCACCTGAGACTCTGCAACAAAACGACATCACAATATGTAATGGAATTCAGCCATACATGTTAGACACACACACAAGCTGACAGGATTGGTTCCTGAGGTTTGTTATGCATGAAACCCCACACTGACACTTTAATTTTTTAGGCAGAAATGCCAAACGATCGTGCTCATTTCGTTGATAATATGTTTTCCAGTATTTTCTTCTCAAACAAACAAACAAAAAACAGCTTGTAGGCATGTCAACGAGATTATAAACTTGATTTTCACCCAAAGGTTTGTTCAAAAAGCAACAGCAGCAATGTGACATTTTCAAAAAGTGACAAAAGCTAATTTCCCTCTCAAAGGAACTGACTGATTGAACTTTTTGGTAAACTAATATTCTAACCATGGAACCACAGCAGCCTGATTTCTGTCTGGGAATAAGTAGGTAGACAAAATAAAAGAAACACCAAACATTGTGTAGAAATCAAACAATATATCACCTAATGCACCCTTAAAAATTAAACTCAGATTTGAACCATGACCTCCCTGAAAGTCTGAGTGACAATCACAAGCTTTCCACTGCTGCCCTGGCTGTGTCTGGTGTTACATCAGACTGAGCCTCTCCTCTCACCTGTCCCGGCTGAGTTGACCCTCTGGACGGCCACCTGGCTCCAGGCTCCAGGTGCAGCTCCACAGTCCACCACGCTGTATCCAGGCTGCAGCAGCTTGAACTTGTCGTCTATCTCCAGCAGCTTGAAGGCGCTTCTGCAGCGAAAGTTCTGGGCGTGAGAGGCTTTGACATACTGGTCTCTGAGCTGCCGCTGCAGCCACCGCTGCTCCGCCGCGCTCCTGCTCTTCAGCTTCTTCAGCAGACACACGGACGAGTGGAAACGTCTCCTCTGCACCGGGAACAGCCACATTGTTTTGACTGCTCAGGGTCATGTGCGCCGCACGGAGCGACTGCGCCTGCGTGGAAAAATTTAACTTCCCATTGGTCAATGCGCATGCTCTGCGTGTAACACCTATATAGATCCCCCTACTGCAAAACACTGACACAACAATAATTCCTACATGGGACTGTCACGTGTCTCTCAGCTCAAAATCACAAAAATCAGATCATTCTGTTCAAATAAACAAACTGTTCTTGTGTATCTATCGCATCATATTTTTTCTCAATTTGCACATTTTGTACAGTTGTTTTATTTATTTTATTTTATTCACCTATTTTATTGTAATTTTTAAATAGTACTTTCTGCTGCTGTACCACAGTAATTTCCCAGACTGGGATAAATAAAGTATTTTTCTATTCTATTCTATTCTATTCTATTCTATTCTATTCTATTCTATATCTAGGCAACTGCAATGAAATCATGTTCTTTTAGGGGGAGTGATTTTTGGAAAAATGGAGGCAACAAATCACGTCTCTGGCAGAAAAAGAGCTTTCATGAAATGTATTTATTTTTTGTTGCTTCCTTTAAAAAAAAAAATTAAAAAAAACTTCTTCCAGCAATTTTATCCGTTACTACAGTTGTCCGTATATAAATAATATTGAGGATTTTTTTAAAATTACTACATGTTTACTAAAATATATAGGTGTTTATCAGTTTCCTACCCACCATATTTACGCTGCTCTTCCTACTGTTGTAATGTGATTTTCTTCTCCAGAAATAATTCATTTTATGTTATTGAATCCTATCTTGTCTTACCTCCTTTTTTTTATTATTACTAGTATTTTTTTTAACCTTTATGTAACCAGGTCAGTCCCGTTGAGATACAATGACCTCTTTTTCAAGTGAAGCCTGGCCAAGATAGCAGTCTGAGAAACATTCAAGTTACAACAATTAAAAACAAACAACACATAACAACATAAGTAAAATACATGCTAGATATAAGCAACAAGATTCAGAATCTACATTGAAACAACAAGTGTGATATCTAGTTGTTACAAAATCTCATATGGTTTATAAAAGATCCAAGGGTGATGAGGTACTTTAGATTCAACATGTTCTGCAGCGTATTTAAAACAGTGCTTCCCAAATTCAAAACGAACCTTTGGCACATCACTGGAACGTAAACAGTAATTGCTAGGAGTTTTAGAAATTACATCACATTATTAACTAACATCCTGCATTTTTAATTAATCTGTCTTATAACATAAATCTTGCTGTAAATAATTGGGAACTGTTCTTGTTCTTCTTCTACTTGATGACTCCCAATTATTTATTCCTACATCCAAAATCACATGGCTACCGGCTCAGTAACAACCCAAGAATAACATGTCTCAAAGTGTGAATGGTTGGCAAAATGCCTAGTGAGGGATAGCCTTGCATTGTGTTGACACAGCTCTGTGTAGAATGGTCTGACTGCACCCCGTTATTGTTCTACTCCACTGGGACACAAAATGCAGAGAGTGATTGTATTCATTAGGGGATTTAAAAAAACAAAAAAAAAACAAACAGGATGCAGCAACGGTGATTACTTAAAATAACGACGGGGGGTTGTTTTTTTTGAAGTATTTGCATGTAGGGAGGTTAGCAAACCTTCGGCATAACAGGAAGTTACCAGTATGTAGGTTGCTGCCTGTTGTTTTAATGTTGGGCGTCTTCATTAAGTCAGTGCTACTGGCTGCAGGATTTTAGTTTCGATTCAACCTGATTTTGCTATCTGATGCATTTATACATGACTTGGAAGACTGAGAAGCTACATAGATTATTATTACAAGTACTGGTAGTAGCAGAAGTAGTAGTAGTAGTAGTTGTATCATCAAAAGGCAGTACGACCTCCACAGATTTACACACAATTTTGTCACAATATGCATTTACATTGGTTTTGTGTGTTATGTGTATTGTTTTGCGCGTGTGCGTAATATGAGTATATGTGTGTATGTGTATGTATTTGAGACAGATAGGTGTGTACTTATTGGGTATAGATTTATTTATTTTGTGTATTTATGTGAGTATATATGTGTGTGTGTGTGTCGACAGTGTTATTGTTTTTTTAGTTTTCTTTTTGTGTATGTGTTGGTACACTGGGTTTCCTACAATGGTTTTGACATGTCTGAAATGAATCAATAAATCATATCAAATCATTTTATAATATTACACTGAAAAATGATATATATTGACATTTAATATTGATATATAACTTTTAAAAAACACATTATTATTCACACTGGATGATGGTGAATTAACACGTGTTGTGGTTTCTAGTCGGACACATTTTACGGTAACACATGCCACACAGTTTCACTGATCTGACATCCAACATAAAACACATCGTGACGTTCAGTCGACTGATCCGAACTGTTACGTATCAGCGCACCACGTGACGCCGCCTGCATCGCTTTTTACGCGGGAATCCTCCAGCGTGGAGCGTGTTATTCCAGCAGCTCCGTTCATTATTCAAGCCTTTTAGTTTCACTTTTCCACAAGTGAGCAGGTAATGATGTGCACTCACAAATGACCGTCAGCTGATCCTGCAGCTGATGCTGTTCAAGCTGTACCAGTGTGTCTGCTTGTGTTGGTGTTAGGTGCAGTCAGGTGAGATGCTGAGCTCCAAGCTGCTGACTCTGGTGCTGGTGGTGCAGCCGGGCAGGGTGCTGCTGGGCATGAAGAAGAGGGGCTTTGGAGCTGGCAAGTGGAACGGGTTTGGCGGCAAAGTTCAACATGGAGAGACCATTGAGGATGGTGCCAGGAGGTAAACACAGCTGCTTTTATGTTGAGATGCTTCCCCAGCTTTTTTTTTTTTTTTTTGCTTTCTAAGCCATATGATGGGATAAGATGACTGTGCTGAGGTGCTTCAATGCTGTGAACAAGAGTGAAACCAAATGACCAGTTGTGCAATTTAAGGAGCAGAATTGTTGCAATGATGCATTCAAGGGACAGTTTGGTGTAATGCAGGATTATGCAGGGTCACAGGCACTGTACTGAATGCTTTCTTTTATAATGTTACAACTGAAGTAAGATGATGCTGCCACCACCTTTGTTAACCCGGTCTTCTCAGGAGACATCCACAGCAAAAACAAAAATGTGTAATACTTTATGCAGGATTCAGATCATGAAAAACAACAAGGATACCCTTTTAGAAGCACCTACTAATAAGCAGTGCCCTCCTAAAAACAGGCAATGACCCCACAACCCAAAACACAGCACTGCAAGTGAATGAATTAAATAAAAGAAAAACATACACTTATAGCACTGCACAGCGTCAAAGGCTTGATAAACCAACAGCACAGCAGCCTATTCCAATGTGTAGGTGAGTCAGAACCATTTGTATTTCTAAGGGGTGTGGGGGTTCCATGTAATTAAGTAGAATAACTACAGATGAGAGTGCTGCTGAGGGGATATTATCAGCTGAGCATCTTAATTTACTTCTGACAGTGCAGCAGCATGGAGTGGTATACCAAGGCACAATTTAACAAACATAACCACAAGCTGGAATATTTTTTTCCGTCTAAACCTGACTGAAAACAAGCCATAAAAGCAGGAAAATGAAAATTTTCAGTCATGTGTTTTCTTCTAGATTTTAAACCCACTTGTAGAGGGTAAAGTTGAGAGACAATCCATTTATCAGCTCCTCAGTGCCTGTTATCACATGAAAGCACCGCCTGACATTAGTTCATGCCATCATAGATGTTGTTACACCACAAAATACTAACACTAAAGCAGTATATGTTTATGTATCCGCCTAGGCAGTCGTAGGATAATTTGGAAAAGTTAATGGGACGAGAGAAAAAGTATTTTGCAAGCGTGATAAATAAAATTGATGTGGAGTCGGGACAATGTGTGATCAGTCATCGGCAGGAAATTTGCTCCCAAGCTAAAGGCTGAAGGAAGGAAGCCCTGAAGGCAATCAGGCCCGTTCCCAAGTTGTTTTCTCTCAAACGTGCAGAAAGACGGCCTTTGTGTGTAGGATATTGGAATGCTAAGTAAACCAGTAAAATCTCAACCGTGTGTCAGTTCGTCTAATCCTAATTTAGGTTTTTAAAATGACATCCATGACTCCTAACTCATTAAACAATCATAAATCTGTGAATATGCACATATTTTAATTTTTTTAACATCAGCAAAAGTTTCAATGTATGTGCAAAGGAGGCTACAAGTTTCCATATCACACAGAACGTATTGAGTAAGTGGAAGAGGACTATAAGTCGCGATTGCATCGGTTGGCGGTTGCAGCCAAAGTCAAGAGTCGTCGGACGAACTGTTGTGGCTGCAAACATTCAAACAGGATCTCTTGTTGTATTTGTACTTGCTGAGCTATACTGGTTACCAAAACTTAAAATAAGGCAGGTCTTTGAGGTGTGTTTAAGTCAGCTAGTAGTGTCTTCCTTGTAAGTGACATCAATGAAGATTCTGCTCCGTTTAGGTACAAAAATCTACATTAATGTGATAAATAGCACATTTGTTTACCTTCTGTTTCAGTGTAAAATGGCTGCTGTAAAAGGGTCTAAAAGACAAACCACATTTTAACATTATTAACTTCCCAGTAGGCCTTAAAACACCAAGAATATCACAGGAGGGAGGTGATGGCGGCTGCTTTCCACAACACTTACACCCACCAGCTTTTATCCAGAGCTTCCACTCCGATCCTGCTGCCTTCATCACCTTCATAAAAAAATGCTTTTTGCGTAAGGGTCAATCGGTTCGGTTGTAAAACCCCAAAATGGACTGCGTGTCCCATAAAACACTGATATCATTACTTCATCATTTTTAGTTGCTTTTAGTGTCCGCCTGAAGCGTACCGTGAGCTTATTTTTAAGGTACACATCATCAAAGATTCATTTGCTGTTTTCTTTTTTTCGTCTTTCCTTTTAGAGAGCTTCAGGAAGAAAGTGGTCTGACGGTGGATGTGCTTGAGAAGGTTGGAAATATCAAATTTGAATTTGTCGGAGAAGTGGAGCTGCTCGATGTCCACGTTTTCAGAGCCGACGCTTATAACGGAGAGCCAACAGAATCAGAGGGTATGAATGACACTGCAGTACTGAAGATAGAATATAAAACACAATATAACCCTTTAACTTTAGCCTACAAAATCGTGTGAAAATAAATCTCAGTATTACTATTTTTTTTGCACATTTAATATCACAAATGAAAGTTTTGAGACAGTTACTTTCACAAGAGAAGTGCCTCTTGTTGCCAGGATACACATGTTCTTGCACTCTAGGGTTCGAGAGGAACTGTTTCTGTTGCTCATAATTCCAAGTAACTGTCTTGTAAAAGCATTCCATGTAATCTTAGGGATTTTTTTGTGTTACTTTTGGTTCCTCCATTTAACCTTGACTTCCTTTTATGTTGTCTCAAAGCAAGGCCAATTATAAGGTTATCATCCTCAGAGTTTAGATAGTACGACCCTCTGAGATGACATGAGAACACGTTGGTTCCCAGTTCCTAGTTTATATTTCTGGATATCTCTAAAGTTAAAGTAGTGACTATACAGGAAAATGGTTTAATGTTTTATTACTATATGTTTAATATACACGAGTAAGCCCAAAGTGCCTTATTTGTTCACTTTATTCATGAAAATCAGACTTGAATGCTTTAGTTTAATCAAATAAATGTAATGCAGGGAAAGAGTGAGTTAATAAAGAAATGTAATTGTTACTATTACCTCAAAATTCTACATTACTTCAGTAACAGTGCTTAAAACCGTCCCCTGATTTCTTCTGTTTATGTGTTTGTCTCATTCTAAACTGTGTCAGATCTTCAAGCAAAAATAATCAAAGAAGGTGATCTGACTAAACACAAAATAAAAGTTTTAAATGATAATTATGTGCATTGAAGCAAAAAAAAAAAGGTTATCCGACACCTAAATCACAATGTGAAAAAGCAGTCGCCGTTCCGAACCCAACAGTTTGTCGAACCACCTTTTGCAGCGACCAGACACCTCAGATGACTGGAGATCAGTGCTTGAAATCGCTGTGATGGGATTTTGGCCCCTCTTCTTTGCAGAACTGCATTATTGCAACCACACTGGAGAGTCTGCAAACACAAACTGCTCTTCAGGTCCCACCACAGCGTCCCAATGGGGTTAAGGTCTGGATATTGACGAGGCCACTCTATTTTATTCCTCTTAATCCATTCAGAAGTGGACTTACTCTTATGCCTGGGATCATGGTCTTGCCGGATAACCCAGCTGCACCCGAGCTTCAGCTCACTGACTGATATCCTGACGTTCCCCTTCAGGATTTTCTGTCAGAGAGCAGAAATCGCGTTTGCCTCAGTTATGTCAAGATGCCCGGAGGCAGCAAAACATCCCCACAACATTACACTGCCAACTCCATGCTTGACTTTGGGTAAAATGTTCTTTTGGTGGAATCCTGTCTTCCAAACAGTTCAACTTTGGACTCGTAAGCCCATAGAACTTTCTTTTAAAAGTTTTGAGGGTCATCGAGGTGCGTTAACCGGCCTTAACGTTTGTCTTGGTGAGCGGTGGTTTTCACCTCGTCACAATCCTATGCCTGCCGTTTCTGCCCAGTGTCTGTCAGACTGGAGTCTGACCTTTAATGAGCTGAGAGAGGCCTGCAGCGCCTTACATGTTTTCCTTGGATCTTTATCGACTTCCTGGATAAGTCATTGCCATGCTCTTGGAGGAATTTTTGGAAGGTCAGCAACTTCTGGGGAATATTCACTATTGTTCCACGTAATAACAAGAAACTTTATTTGCATAGCACATTTCAGACAAGTAATGCCTCATCAAAATAGATGTAGGATGAAGAAATAAAACAGGAATTAACATGGCATAATAAAGTATAAATATAATAAAGTAATGTAATGATGTAGCGACTGAAAATAAAACTCACTTTGATAATAATGAAATAAAATAAAAAATAAAGGTAAAATGTGAGTGCGTAAGATGAAAAGCAGAACATTAGAGTTTTCACCATTTGTAGACAATGACTCACTGTGAATCTGTGGAGTGTTAGAAATACAATGCCTTGCAAATTTTGGACACTGCCTATTTACCCCATGCTTCTTTGCAAAACTGCTAAAACTCTGTCAAGCTGCATGGGGAAGCCTTTTTTTTTAAGTCCAGCTACAAATATTCAATTGGATTGAGGTCTGGCCTCTGATTTATCTCCTCCTGAACATTCACCTTGTTGTCTTTAACTATTTCTGCGTAGCTTTGACTGTATGCTTTGGGTCATTGTCTTGCTGGAAAAGAAATCTTCTCCAAAGTCGCAGTTCTCTTGAAAACTCAAGCAGTTTGTCCTCCCAATACTGTGCTTCATTCATTTTACCCTCTAGCTTTTCTAGCCTTCCAGGGCCTGCTACCAGGAAACATCCCCAATTCATGATGCTGCCACCACCGTGCTTCACATTGAGGACGGTGTGTTTGTTGTGATGTGCAGCATTTTGTGTCTGGCACACACCATGTCTGGTCTTATGGCCAAAAAGCTCAACTTTGGTCTAATCAGATTAAAGAACCTTCTTCTGTTTGGCTTCAGAGTCTCACACATGCCTTCTGGCAAACTGTAGTTGAAATTTAATTTGAGCCTTTTTCAACAGCTGCCTCCTCTTTGCCCCTCATAGCGTACAGCTTTGAATGCTGAAGAACAAGGCAACAGTTGTTGAATGCACAGATGTCTTCATACGACAATCACTTGAGACACATTTACTGCACTCAGATGATCTCCACTTTACTAATAGTGTGACTCGTAGCACCAATTGGCTGCACCTGTGTCGAATTAGCTGAGTTACTTAAAATACTGAAGCGATCACTTGTTTCACATTAATTAATTGACATTGCATTCCAGAAGTCTGTTTTAATTCTGACATGTTTTTTGGGGGCATTTTTTTTGTAAGTTCTTGTCAAAATAGCCAAAATAAATTAATCCTGATTCAATGTTGAAAAGCAATAAAAGGGGAAGTAAGTACATTTTATAGGAACTGCAGCTTTGTAACCCATCACAAATTGATGTATTTCAATCACCTGGTTCCTCTTCTGGAATTCTTTTGATTATTTATATATTATGGCCTCATGTACTACAAATGAGACCTTTCAGCCTAATTCATGCTTCCACTTCCTTATTTTGCCTTTGTTTTGTGATTGATGTCATGTGAAGATCTGACGTAGTTTAGAAAGAGACACACACATAAACAGATAAAAACAAGCTGCTATTGAATACTTTTCCTCTGCACTGTACTTTCCACCATTGCTTCCGAGTACAGTGACTGAAACGCTGACACTTCTGTGGACAAGAAGACTGTATTAGTGAAGGGAAATAATCTATAGGTGTGCTCTCGGTAGTACAGTTTAAAAGACTGTAAATAAACAAAGGGGAGCTGCGGCCCTCAGCAGGAAGAATCTGATCTGTATTTCCTCAGATTTTAGCGAAGGTCAGCTGGGTGAAGTCCAGAGACGCACATCAAACCACAGCTCTTGGCAAGGTCAGATGTTAGCAGTGAACCCAGGAGTCTGGAGGATAGGGGAAGGGTGAGGAGATAAGAGAAAAAAAAACTTAACTGAAGTGTGTTAAAGTTGGAGAAAACTATATGATTTTGCAATACAAGCAAGTAATCGGAATGAGTCAGCGGTTTAATGACGTATAAGGTTTATTCATTCAGAAGCAATCTGGGAAAGTGAATAAACCTGAGAAATCAAATAAGCATGTATTTTTATTTTAGAAAAGGATTGTGAAAGTTACAGTGGCACAATTGTGACGCAATATTAATTAGAGTTGTAATTTGTCACTATAATGATTCCTCCTCTGCATAATCCATCCATCCATTATCTATACACCGCTTAATCCTCACTAGGGTCGCGGGGGGGCTGGAGTCTATCCCAGCTGACTTAGGGCGAAGGCAGGGGACACCCTGGACAGGTCACCAGTCTATCACAGGGCTACACTTAGAGACAGACAACCAAGCACACTCACCTTCACACCTACAGACAATTTCAAATCACCACGTAACCTCAACATGTTTTTGGACTGTGTGGGAGGAAGCCGGAGAGAACGTTGCACGGGGAGAACATGCAAACTCCACGCAGAAAGATCCCAGGTGTCCTCACTGCGACGCGAACCGGCAACAGTGCTTCACCTTGCAGCCCCCTTTGCATACTGACTAAAAAGAAACAACTTAACGCAACCATTCTCTGTCTGACTTGGACGAATCAAGTGGAAAACTTGCAGAGAGTTATTTCCGTAATAGAATGAATCTTGTCAAAGAGGGATTTTAGTGACAATGAATCCCGATGTACAGATGGAAAGTTATTTTAAGGTAGATTTCACCAACTCCAACCTGGAGGTTAAAATAACAGTATGTGTCCTTGCAGACAACAGATAAAATAGAAACGGTTGAAAGCGTTTGTCCTGCACTGTAATAATAATGTCAAATATGTACGTCCTAATGCAGCATATACTGATTAAAAAAATATTTCCTGCTATGCACTGGACAGGGATTGGGACAGATCCAAAGTAGCACAGAAATAACAGAGATAAGGCAGATGATATCTCAAGGCACATGATGAAAAGCTCTTTCATTTTTCGGAGGTCTACTAATTATTCTTTCTTTTGTTTTCTAGAAATGCGGCCTCAGTGGTTTGAATGTGATAAAATTCCCTTCAGTCAGATGTGGCCTGATGATATCATGTGGTTCCCTCTGATGCTTCAGAAGAAGAAATTTGTTGGATACTTCAAGTTTCAGGGTCATGATGTGATTCTCAGCCACAAACTGGAGGAGGTGGAGGAGTTCTGATGAGAAATAATCTGGCTGTCGCTGATGGCATTTATGTCTGGGACCAAAAAAAGAAAAAAAAAATGCTCAGCCTTCCAAGATTTGACGGCGATTACTGGAGAAAGCCCACTGTTAATGTTCTTGTCCAGGTTTATTTAGTGGGAGTTGAACGAGAACTGTTACCTGTTTGGTTGGAGCGTTGACATGTTGTGTGACTAATTCTTTTCTGTAAACCTTTTTCCTTTTTCAGGTGAATCAAAGCAGCAATATATTGAAAGAAATGTCCATTTTGTCATTTTATTTTGAGAATAACTGATTGAAGACAATTCAGCAGACTTCTTACATGGAATATGTACACTATTTACAATTCTGATTTCATTGGGTTTCGTATTCTGTGCAGCTTTGCTTGATCCCAGAATCGAGATGATTGCCAAAATGTGTGTCATACTGTATGTACTGTATTTAAAGTTGTTTCAGAAAATACATGTGCACATATCCTGATTTACTGATGAATGCAAAGTCATTTCAGTGTATTTGAGATGAAACCTGTTGGTGACAATCAGTGAGACAGTTTCTTTTCTTTCTGGATTGATATCGCCCTAAAACTCTGTAAGATAAGGAAATAAAGTTGATGAATATTTCTAAATTGGAGCCATGTAGGAATCCTGTTAAGATTTACAGCACGAGTGAATGTCGGTGAATATCTATACTTTCTCTTTGGCAATAACCGATAGCTTATGGTGCTATAGTGCCAGAGGTTATAATGTTATCAATAAATCTCAAATCTCTGCCCTCTGTAGTATTGTACAGTTTGTAGCTTATAAAATTCAACAGGGAATCTGGCAAACAATTTAAGCAGAGAAGCGATGTTGCTCTACACAAGTAAACAAAAGTAACACAAGTGTCGATAAAAAATATAAAGTATGCTGCTACACATCTTCATAAACTAGAATCTGTATAAAAAATACATTGGTCTAAAGTTATTCAGTAAGTTAAACCTTAATGACAGGAAATTCAAAATAACCCCATCCTTTAATAAAGTCTTTTTTTTAACCTTTCAGTTTGTTTCAGCTACATTAGTGTGTAAAACTTTTTTTTTTTTTTTACAAGTTATAAACAGGTGCTTTAGCAAATGGAATGTATAAATATGCTGTCACCCTTGTATCCCTCGTACAACAGCATAGGATTTTCCTGCCTTGCTGACAGACGCAAAAGTCGATTCTAAAATAGACATCACATACCCATCAAGCAGAGTGTAAATTTACAGATTTATGAACTCCGTGTCCCTCGCAGGTGATATGGTTGATGATCAAACCCCCAAACTTGAGAAGCAACATTAAAAATTCTCTTAGTGAACCGCATGAACACTGTAATAGAGTGGAAAAGTTGTTCATTATGCTTTTTTTTTTTTTTGCTTTAGCTCACAGAGCTTTTTATTTTTTCAGTTTGTGATCTTCATCAGTGGCAGTGATTCTCCTCTTCATCTCATGGGTATTCAGGCTTCAGATGGGGGGCTTCAAGCCATTATTACCACCAAAGAGACACCCGAGCTTTGGCTGGAGTTCATTCCACACATCTCCCATCTGGAAAGAAAGAAAGAAAGAAAGAAAGTCATCCCTCTTCTGTTTATATATACAGAAGTTCCATAACCAAATCTTGAAATGCAGTGCCTGTAAAAAGTGTCTCAACTACTTATTAACATTATACACTGCCTGGCCAAAAAAAAAGTCGCCATCAAAAAAAAAAGGTCATACACTCTAATACTTTGTTGGACCGCATTTAGCTTTGATTACGCATTCGCTGTGGCATTGTTTCGATAAGCTTCTGCAATGTCAAAAGATTTATTTCCATCCAGTGTTGCATTAATTTTTCACCAAGATCTTGCATTGATGATGGTAGAGTCTGACCGCTGCGCAAAGCCCTCTCTAGCACATCCCAAAGATTCTCAATGGGGTTGAGGTCTGGACTCTGTGGTGGCCAATCCATGTGTGAAAATGATGTGTCGTGCTCCCTGAACCAGTCTTTCACAAGTTGAGCCCGATGAATCCTGGCATTGTCATCTTGGAATATGCCTGTGCCATCAGGGAAGGAAAAAGTCCACTGATGGAATAACCTGGTCATTCAGTATATTCAGGTAGTCAGTTGACCTCATTCTTTGAGCACATACTGTTGCTGAACCTAGACCTGACCAACTGCAGCAACCCCAGATCATAACACTGCCCCCACAGGCTTGTACAGTAGGCACTAGGCATGATGGGTGCA